AATGTTTTTGGGATCTGTTCGGCTAAATGAGCTTTATTTAGGACTGCTTCTTGAAGGAGGGTGTCTTTCTCTATCAATGCTCTTTGAGTTGTGACTAAATTATCTTTCATCTGCGCTAATTCATCCTTTTTTTTAGCTAATATATCTTCTAAATCTTTTTTCTTTAGATCTAAGTAAATATTTTTAGTAGATAGTTCTGCATTTTCAAGTTCTAATTTACATTTGAAAGAATCCATTTCTATTAACTCCTTCTGTGCTAAAGAAACACCCTACTCTAATTCTTCTACTCTTGATTGAAGAGCCCGTATCTCTTCCAATTTTGTAACAATCTCACCTTTGATATTATTAAAGGAAATATCTTTGTGAGTGATCTGATTTCTGAGTTCTCTCACTTCGTCTTCAAGCTAACATACACGCTCTGAAAAGCTCTTATTATTTTTTATCAAGAGATTGCATCTAGTACCAAGCTAAATACCCAAGCTCAAAGCAATATCTAGATCACGCTTTGTACAAGTAAGTTGGTTTTCAAGCTCTGTTCGGCTGGGTGAATATCGATTAGATGGTGAATCCCCAAGTTTATTGCCAGACAGAGCTACCCACCATTTATTTTATTCAGCATATACACATTTGCTATATAATTTTACTTGAAGGTAGATATTTTTTTTCTTGAAAATTTTTTGGTAAAAAGAACCAGAATCAAACCAATAACAAACCAATAATAAACTAGTTTAATATTTAAACTATATATATCTCAAACCTATTCTTTATTGGATCATGGTTATAGCAAGCTACGTAATAAGGAAAGCGAATTTCCTATATATATCAACCTAATATCAGACCAATATTATACCAAGACCAAATATATTGCAAATAAATTTTTTACAAGTTTTTTATTGGTATCATACAAATTTATTATTAATAAATTATGAGTAAAAAATTATCAACCCATACTCGTAAATTTCTTAGATCAGATGCCACCCACTTGTCACCCAAAGCCATTGAAGAAATTAGAAATGCTCAGAATAATATTTCAGATGCTTGACGTATTATGTGTAAAAAACATCATATAGAAGCAATGACATATCAAAAAATCATTGATAATCAGAGGTTTCCTGAACCAACTGAGGAGTGGCATAGAATCTTAGAATCTGTTAGCATCTCTGATCAGATTTCAAAAAATAACCAAGAATCTTTACAGCTGGTAAGTGCTGAGTATGATATCTCCTCTACTAATATACAAGAAGATGAGGTTGTTCATACATAGCACCCTAGAGATGATGAAGATAGTGCAAATTCTCATATAAGGCTGAATACAGTAACTAGCAAACGAAAAGATAAGGTTAGTCAAAAAAAAAAGGCTAGTACAAAGGCAAAAGACAAATCTTCTCCAGTAGAAAAAAATAGAATAATCAATTCTTCCAAAGATGATACATCAAGACGGGAATCTGATCTTAATAAATTATTAAATATTACTGGAAATATTGTTACACATTTAATCTTTTCTCTATAAGCTTAGAGTATCTTTCAACTAAAATTTTACTTGCATTTAATGCTAAGTCAAGCTATCTCTCAGTTTTTAAGAGACGCTTTTCAAGCTCTTTGTACTTTTTTTTAAATTATCCTCACTAGTCAGGCTGGAGGAATCAGTAGATACTTGGATTGAATCACGCGAACCCTCTAGAATCTGCTTCTCTTTTGGTAGATCCTTAGCTACTAGGGCCTTGCTAAATGTTGGGATAGTGTAAGTCTTTCCATATAACTTCATTCGGAATTGATTTTTATTCGGATCAAGAATACCTTGAACTTTTCGAATCCATGTTATACCTAAACATAATATTGGTTCGGGTTCACCATTATTAATATGAGCAAAATTTCCAGTAGCTGTAACAATCTTACTATCCTTGTCCTTTACACTAATTGGCACATCTGTATACCATCTCAATGATTTGGATATATGTTTGGAATTACCCTTTATAGCAAAGTCAGAAGGTTTATCAGCTTTCCACCCCAGGGCATTAATTGTTGCATTATTTACCCCCCAATTTCACTCACACTATCTAAAAAAGAATTAGTGATCAATAGATCATTTATATTACAATACAAGTATTGCAATGACGAAAACCACTCATCTAATTTTAATTCTTTTTCCTGAACTATATGAGACTGACATATTTTATGCATTGCCGGTAAAAGTTTTGGCAACAGCTTATCATATGTTTCAGGCTGGCTGTATTCTGCTAGTATTTGTTTTTTTTTTCTGGTGGATAATACCCGGTCTATTTATTATTTTCTTCATCATAACTACAATTATTATCTTCTTCATTATCTGAAGCTGGAGGTGTGTATTAGGACTGTGTAGATGGAAGTTGGGAATAGTAACGTGTAAAATTTGATTTAGCTACAGGTTTTTTGGATTAATTATCGAGCATCATCCTCCCGAATTGAGATGTCATTTGACCAATTTTATCTACTTTCGATTCTATTCTATCCATTCTCATAGATTGGTTTTGTTGAGAGCAAGGTCTTTGAAAAGGTTTTATAGAATAATCTAAATCTAATTTATTCTTAGTTATTAAACCTATTTTATTTAAGAATTTAGATACATAATAATTCTGAAGATCTTCTTCTGATTGCAATGATGGTGGAGGACCTCTTGGCTGTCTAACTGGTTCGACAGTTTGTAGAGCTGGTGCTTGTGCTTTTTGAGCAACTCCTTGCTAGGTTATTTGTGATTGGAAATCGGCTTTTTGCTTTTCTAATAAAGATTGGTATTCAGTTTTTTGCTGTGCTAATGCTTCTTGAATTGCCTTTTGTATATCGTCTTTAGTAAAAGCTGGTTAAGAAGCTGAGGCAACTAGTGGTAAAGAATAGGATACTAGATTTATACTAGGTAAGGCTTGTATTTGATTGAGAATTTGATTTAATTCCTCTGAGATCCTTCTACTCAAATTTTGTCCACACTCTAGCCACTTATTTTTTAGCTCAGTAAAAAATGCATTAATATCTGCTGGATTAGCTATTCTCATCCAAGTGTAAAAATTACCCGTTAAGTGGCTTTTAAGAAATCCTATAACTTGCATATCATTGTCTGCCACTCCTAATAATAGTGGCCGAACTCTAGCTTCATAAGTATCTGGAGTATCATAAGGTTGGTATTTTTCTTGAGTCAATCTTTGTATAGCTGATTGCTGATTTCCAACTATCTTCTGTTGGTATTTTGCTCTTAACCAACCTCGTAATGTATCTAGAGTATTTATAGCTGGATTTCCTATTACAAGACCATTATTTGCCGGTACTGGAGCATATTTTTAGCCCATCATAGACTTTAAAATATTACACTTGACTGCATCATTAAAATCTCCTGCATTTGCATTTTCAAGAACTATCATATGCTCTTCAAAATATGCCCACGACTGAATAACCTTATCCAAGTATTCATCAGGTGGTTCTTGACCTATGTAGGGTTGAAATTTTGCAAGAGCAGGAGCCATTAATTTTAATACTGGTAAACGTCTAGCCTCAGCCATATTTATTTGATTAGGTAGGTTATTCTGTAGTGCAAAAATTTGTTGATTTAAAATTAAAATATTCTGGTGCTCTGCATGAGTCTTATTTTTCCACTTCTCATATCATTCATATAACCTATCTCAATTATATTCTAGCAAACCTTTATCGGCTCTATATCGTTGTAGGTGGAGGATATTTTGATAATACAATAACTGAAAAACAAAATTTTCACATAGCAATTCACCAATACGGGTTTGCTTTCTTGCTATATTATTTATCAATTCTGTTTACTTGATTCTGAGCATTGGTCCATAACTGATTACGCTCCTGTACCACTTGATCATGCTCCTGCATGTACATATCACGGTCCCATCGTTCATTTACCAGATCTTGTTGTAGATTAGTATATTTTCAGCGAATTGCCCTTGTTGATCTTTTAATTTGATTTCTTAAAATAGTTCTACATATTGTTGTATCATCTAGGGATCGGTCTATAGCATCAGCCAATTCAGCTATCATACCCATATCTAAATTTTGATCAAAATTATAAATATCTAAAGAATTTTTATCAGGGTCAGATTCGTTTTCATTAAAATTCTGTGCTTCTGCATTTTGTAAAGCCTCTCTAGTATTTATAAGTTCTAACCTATCACTATACCTTAATAATAATAATGCAAAATTTTGACAAAGTAGGTTTGTAATACAATTTTTTTGCTGATTTATTTTGCTAATCCTATTTATTTGATTGGTCCTTATTGTATTTATTTCTCATTTAAGCCATTTGTTTTCATCTACTAATCTTGTTGTATAATCTTGTACTTTAGACATATTTCTAGCTGATTTAGATATTTCTCATATTCTAGTTTTTAATTTTGTTTCATACTCATCGAATTCTAATATTAATCTATCCTGATTTAAAATTTCCTTGTCTTTCTTTTTATTTTTTTCTTCGAGTTGGTAAACAATTCTTTTTAGTTTTGAGATTTCTTTTTTTAACTCTTCTTTTACTTCTGTAGAAACTTCGATTGTGTTATTTAACTCTTCTTCAAGAAATCTTATTCTTTCTTCCCGTATACTAATAATTCTTTCTAAAGTATATAGTCGCTGTTCGAAATTTCTATTTGATTCTGCTAATTGCAATACTACCTCATAAAGTTCTTGATTACTTTGTTGTAATTCCTCCATATTTTTTATTTACTATAATTTATATAATTCAGAAATCGCTAAATATATAAAAGAGAATCAAAATGGGGAAACCAGTTATTTATATCGATTTCCAGAGAGCACGGGAGCTAGATCAAGTTATTGCAAAACAAATACCTTCTATTTTTATTGATTCTAAAGAAGCTTATAATCTAGACCAACATTTTGCCTTACAGAAGCTATATTATTGTCCTGAGGGTCTTTACCAAAATACAAAAAGACTATGGAATGCATATAAGAAAGCTAGTTATACCTTTTCATTTACTAATATAAAAAAATAGCTTGATGGTTAGGCAATGTATCAAATCTTTCGGCCTTCACCAAAACAAATACCTTATGCTAGTTACTCTAAAATCACAAAGCCAAATACCGTACACTAGTATGATTTAATCAAAATACCATATGATGTAAATATAGATTTACTAGATAGTAACACATTATTTTACTATATATTATTAGTTATAGATTGTGTGACTAGATATAAAGATTTTGTTTTTTTAATATCAAAAAGCAGTGAAGAAGTTGCAGATGCATTTAAGAGTAAATATGATAATTCTGACAACCCTCTTAATTGGCCTCGACTATTGCAATATGATGAAGGTCGTGAGTTTATGGGAAGTGTGATATTGATAATAGATAAACATAATATTAATATCTGAAGAATTAAAGCACGTTTTAGACATACAAGCATAGTAATAGTCAATTGTTATACTGGATTATTCGAATTAAGGGTTTTTAAAAACCAGTATGCAATAGAGTTTTTTCTATCTACTGGTGAATGCTATAGAGAATGTAAAAGGTTTGCATGAAAGATTGTTGACAATATGAATAGCACTCCAACCCAACTAATTAGAATGAGTCCTAATGATGCCATGAAACTTGAGCAGATATATTTCAAGCTATCGGTAAAATATAATTATCCAATAGGCATTGATGAACTACAACTACCAAAGAATACTACTGTTTGATTTTTGCTTGCTTCCAGAGAGTGAGAAAATGATTTTTTTTGAGCGATGTAGAATAACAGATCCTATATTGTCACCTAGCTTCCATAAAATTCAAAGAATTGTTGTTGGAAAGAATCCCCGATGCCTGTTTTATATTATTTAGATAATTCAGGACCTTAACATCCCTTTGTAAGAAAACAATTAATATATATTAAGGAAAAGCCTATGCTTCCTCCTAGATGGTTCTTATCAAAAAGAAGCCAAATGCATGCAAGGCGCTTTTTATAAAAGTTTCTAAATCAATGGTGCAATAGGGAATTGTGATAAAGATTACTCCTTCTCTATAACATAGAGCTCTCTTTTTTCAGTCATACCAAATTTGTGCATCTAGATTTATCTGTCCTTGCGGATAAAAAAAAGGCATGATTTGGTAATATTGACTACCACTATATTTGAAGGCCAATCCTAACTCATCATTGTATCCATCCAGATATAACCCTTCCAAGAACTTAGATTTTCAGAGTGGGAATTTTTTATCAATAAATCTTCAAATATATATCAGCATGTTCTTTTCAGTACATTAGAACAAATATTACACTATTGGCAATTCTGTTTCATATTTTTATATGATGCCTCCTATTGATAACCTTTTTTACATACCTATAAATATGTATTAGAATTAGTATTAACTTTCATTAAGCATCTTCCTTCCCGCCTTTGAGTATATGCTAAGGCTTTAGTATCAATTCTGTTATAATTTTGTATTTTATTTACTAATCTTTTTTTTTGAATATAAATAAGAAAAAAAGATACTGTTTCGCATCGATGGATCAGAAGACCAGGCCAGAAGAGGTCACCTCGTGACCAGATCGAATATAGAAATTGAAATTAGCTAGTATTATTGCACAAAAAAAAATAAATAAATAATATTATTGTAAGTCTTCTTAAATCTTCACGAAAAATTTTATATTCATCTAAGGAAGGGAGTTTGGGATTCATTGGATTAGGTTTTTGTCTTGCATTAATATCCAGAATGAGGCGAAGAGGCAAATTCCCATTAATGCATTCATAAGCATCAGGTAACCCATAAACTTTGGATAAGTGATTTACTACTGTGAATTCCTTATCTGCAACCCGAATAATATATTTATCAAAAATTTCCTCAGAATGATGAGCATCTAGAAGAGCGATATCATCTTTACTATTAGACAGATATTGAAAGTATATATGATTATTATAACTAGGCTCAAAATCAAGGTTTGCTAAACCAGAGAAGAGCCTAATTGCTTCATTTATTTCGCCGGGGTCAGGCCCAGATTTTTTTTGTGCAAGTAATATAATAGTATACGAAAGAAACTAATATAAATTTATATAAAAATTCCCAAATCTTTAAAATAAAAAATATAATATATATGATTCAGAAATGAAATAAAAATGCATAAAGCTTTATTTGGCCTCTAATCTGAATACTAGTATGAGTATGCAATAAATATACTAAATAATATCAAAGCAATCAATGTAATAATATTCTGAAGTAGTAATTATGCAGAAACAAGGTCTAGAAGCTAAACACATTCGAATTTTGGTTATCCACTCAAGCAGAATTATATATAGAAAAGAAAAGAAAAAATTCTGCATGAGTGGCTTACTAGCGATAGGCAGGAAAGAGGTCAGGGAGGCAAAAAGGCTCAGGAGAATATAAGAAAAAATAGCTTCAAAGTATCCTGAAATAGTAATAAGAGTTCAACTTAGTGAGGTTGTGGGTGATACACTAAGGTAAAATTATAAGACATATAAGAAACACCAAGGCAGGTGCAGATACAAGTATACTTACTAGCTCAGGTAAGAGAAGCACAGAAGGGTCTGCAAGATATCGCATCTAAAGAGACTATGCAGGTCAGAATAATTTGGTAACCAAGCTGGCATAAGAGCGAACAGAAACTGGCAAACTAATAGAATCTCTTCAGTTTCTCTACTAGTTACCCGCTAGCTTTATCCCTTAAATTGTAACACAGGCAAATTTGTCTGTATTTTTATTAAAAAGTTTAATTTTTTTAATAATACTTATATATTGATTTTAGCTATATATTTTCTAAATAAAATATTTAATTTTAGTTTTGTTTTATTAACTTTATTAAGAAAATTTTTTAAAATTATTAAAAAATTTTAGTATAATAAAAGTTTAAAGTTCTTGTATTAAAATTTTTACTATATAATTTTTTCTTTAGATTTTCTTAAATTTTATATGTTTTTTGTCTATAAAAAATTTTTGTTTCTAAGTAAAGTCTTAATTTTTATTAGTAAATCTTTAAAAGTATAATAATAAAAATTATAATCTTTTATATGAACTATAATATTGTTTTAAGAACTATATATTTAAAATTAATATTTAAAAAGTTTATCAAGAAGTTGTAAATAATTTTTTTAATTTAAATTTTTTTTTAAACTTATCTATTTTAGCTTATAAGCAATCTAAACTTTTTTTTATACTATAAAAACTAATTTTGCAAAATAATAATTCTTATTTTCAAATATAATTATACAAAGTTTTATTTAAATATTTTAGCATTTTAAAAAAAATAGATTAAAATTAAAAAAAAATGCAAAAATGTAGACAAATTTGTTTGTATTAGTCTATATATTAAAGAATAATATAAAATAAAATAATAACATAATTATTAAAAAAAAAAAATAATTGTATACTTTTTTTAAATACTTTTTTTTTTTTTTTTTTTAACTCTTTGATAGTCTTGTCACTATCTTTATTAAAAAGATAATTATTATATATACAGAACACACATGATATATCTAAACTATAATATTTAGATACAGTA